GGCCTTCACCACCCTATTGTCTGTGTCCATGGGTTATGCATATATGCATACAAGGTCTTTGGTTGATTACCTCCCTAATTAAATAAGCACCTATTTGCCCTGGTCCATGTGGCTCAGTTGGTTGGGCTTTGTCCCATTGGGCTTTGTTCCATGGACTCGAAGGTTGTCGGTTCAATTCTGGTCAAGGGCATGTGTCCAGATTTTGGGCTTGATCCCTGGTAGGGGGCGTGCAGGAGGCAGCTGATCCATATTGCACTCGCACAACAGGGTTTCTCCCTCTCCCTCTCCCGCACTCTTCCCCTTCCCCTCCCCCTTCCTCTCTGTTAAAAATCAATAAAAACTATTCTTTAAAAAATAAATAAATAAAAATAAATAAGCTTTTTAAGGCTACAGAAATAACTGATGATGATACCTATAGTAAAGGAGGAATAGATTTTTCTGGTTAGTGCCATATTTTTAGTACCATATAATGGTATCTTATCCAAGTTCCATGTTTATCCTATATAATAAAAGGCTAATATACTAAGTCTCCGACCGTTCGACCATTTGACCAGTCACTATGATGTGCATTGACCACCAGGGGGCAGATGCTCCAGCCATAGGTTAGCTTGCTGCTGGGATCCACCCTCTTGCAATCCGGGACCCCTCGGGGGATGTCAGAGAGCCGGTTTCGGCTGATCCCCGCAGGCCAGGCCGAGAGACCCCACTGGTGCACGAATCCATGCACTGGGCCTCTAGTATTTATATAACATGTTAGAGTCTTGAATTTTAAAAGACTGTCAATTCTGGCTTATGTGTGTTAGGGTACATATCCCTTTTAAAAAATAGCCACAATAAAAGTCCAAGTTCTGCTCTGAAGACCACTTCCTATGGTAAAAGGGGAAATTTGGTTGTAGTTACTTGCTATTTGAGAAGCAAGAAAATGTCAAAAAATAGGAACTGAATTAAAGGATACACTTTATAGCCTGTGATAATATGGAATCTGTCATATCGGGTTGTCATGATTTCACAGTGTTGAGAAGTTGAGTCCATAAAGTTTTTGTGGTCACATTTGATTTCGGAGATTTCTGGTTGCTGTCTTTTCAAAATTTGAACTACGTAAGAAATATTTTTGTTTTTTCCAAAAAATGCTGTGTATTATTTCTTATCTGAGAGTATCAATAACATTTTTTGGTAGTTAATATCTTGTTAGCCTTGAGGAAAAATCTGAACTATATATGGAATAGAATAAGGAAGTGTGGATTGAGAAAGACCTGTTGGTACTTTTCAACTCTGTAAGGAGTCTACATTCAGCCTTGCCATTCACAGTGTGACAGTAATGAGTTCTTCATCAGAAACTACTTTATGTTCATTAGTTCTGTTGTATATTGAGTATTTCTGTCTTATAAGCCAAATTTCTTAAATGAATCAAGTAAATATAGACATTTTGATACATTAAAAAATATTAAACTACTGCTGTATGCCTGATATTCAGCCTAGGTATGGTTGTGGTATAGAAGAATATGATATGATCATTGCAGTCAAATAATTA